TCTTTTTGATTCTAACTGTGATAACATACTTAACACAAAATCAGATAGCCATAGCTAAAGCAGTCCAGATTTATTGGTGAAACAATTTAATAGAAAAAAGTAATTTTCACAAAATTGATCTTTGACAAGTATTTCAATTTTCTCTTTGATATAATGGTGCAAACCATTCTTCTTCAGACAACCCAGCTGGAAGTATCCATGGAGCTGGTTATGCCAATTCTCCCAGAACACACATTCTTTCATTGCACTGCAGCACTCATGACACACTGCAGGTCCTTGAATCTTACAATACAGCAGAGAGATCAAATGGTTGCACCATAACTGTAGTGAGTCTTAGGTAAGCTAGAAAAAAGACTCCTGATGTCACTTAGGTTAAGCTGGGGGCAAAGCTTGATTTGCTTCTCACTAATTTGCCAATAGAGTTTGAAGCTATTGTCATCACAATAATGTATTTATGAAGTCATTAAGCTAAGAGAAGAGATTTATAGCTAAAGATCTGTGTAGTTTGCACTGAAGAACTTAACATTTGTTGGGTTTTGGAGGGGAGAGGAGGCAACCAGCAAATATTTAATTGATCTCCTGACACCATTTGGGCTTTTAGTCTTAAGTTGAGGGTACAGTGACTTCTGTGCTTTCTGGTCTGGCACAGAACAACCCAATTGACAAGTGATCTCACTGAAGAACCATCTCCTGAGAGAAAGGACATCAAAGTATTTGGCTTAAATGAAATCATGAGGTCTGAATTTGACAACGAAATATGCTTTATTAATCGTTTTTGGCTTCCCACCTTCCCCTATTTTTCACGGCTTATAACTGCGACAACCTCCTAACTCAGCAATGATTTATCAGAATGAATGGGAATATGTCAAGATAGTCTTTAGAGGTTGTCAGTAATGCTCTTGGCTAGAGGCAGCAATCACTGTTGAACAAAATGAAGTTCGTTTACTGGTTTCTGAGTAAGACACATCCCACTTCCAACATGCCATTTTAAAATCAGTCCAGTGATACACTACTTATCACAGAAATTCAAAGCTCAAAAGGAAAGGATCAAATCTACTGCATAAGACTTGAGACGCCACGTTATAGTCATTTTAAATAATGTAGCTCTTACACAGTTTCTACTCAGTAAGTATCTTGTTTCAGGTGTCCTCTATTCATATCTCAAATTTTATAGGCTTCATTTACTAATGTGAAGGTCCTGATGAGATTCAGCAAAGAAAATGGGAATGTGGAAGGCTATAAAGCATTTCAGCTTTAGCTGCTGGTAGACACTTACTGAAAAATTACTGAGCGATCAGGTTTATATAACAGATATATTCTAACATTTTCGTGTTATTCACATTGTTCAGGCACCAAGATTAGATGGGGAAATGGATTCCGGACTCTATTGCTGGGCATATGAACAAACAATGGAAATGCCAAAATGACGAATGCTTTCCCATTCATTTTACATACTTTAATTTGCAGAAAGCTGCAGAAGCCTACATCAGAAATTTCTGCAGGATTATCTTAAGGAGGGTTGAACAGGATGATTCAAACCCTCTGAATATTTAGCAACTTGAATATTCTCTGATTATTTTTAGTGACATATCAGAGTTTATACTTTGAAAAGGCCGGAAAATTATGTAGATGGGTGAAATGTTTTGTATGTGACTTTGTCTCCCTTTTATGCACAACACCCTTTAGCTGACCAGATTACCACTACATATTATTCTGCTTAAAACATATTAAAAAAAAAAAAAAAAAAAAGAGTGAGTTGTTACCTAACAAGGCCAAAAGACAAAGCATTGCAGGCGTGCTTAGCAAGCCCACAGAAGAACCATATCTTCCCTCCATTTTGGTTTGCAAAACCAGCCTTATATTTCTTGCATCTTTATTGTGACATACGAAAGGTAATTGTAGATCAACATAAAAATTCCTTCAGACTTCATCAGGGCCATTTTTTATATCTGTCTAGTTATGGCTTTGGCATGTGCTTACAAGTTGAAATCCTGTTTCATCAAAGATGATAGTTTAATTTCTGAAAATTCCTCTCTAAGTTTAAAAATATGGCTCTTAGTGGGTTTCTTAGTATTTTTCCATGTAATTTAATTACATTGATATGGGTTTACAACAAACTGTGGTAATAATTTGTGATAGAGCAAATAAAATTCATTATAAGCAAATTGCGATAAGCAATACTGTGGGAAAAAACCCAACCCTTTAGTGTTCTCTTTTTGGAAGAAACACGTATGATGTTATTGGTGTCATTCTTACACAAACATATGCTCCTTCACATGAGTCCTCTCATAGAATGAATAGCATCACCTTTGTGGGTAGGTGTTCATTATTTTGAGTATGGATGGCAAAACCCAAGTCCAAAAAATGAGGACAAACCAGATCAAACACAACGGGAGTGACTGAAAGCATTTCTTAATTTTGAATTTCTTGGAGAAAGGCCAGGCTGTAATTAGATTTTGTGAACATAATTTCCTCAGGGATTTCAATAACTGCAATACTAAAAGCTAATTAATGTTTCAATACCAAAATTCTATTTGGACTTATTTATATAATAATACACAAACTGACTGTATTTAACAAACGTATCATCCAAACTCTAAAGGTCAAGAACTAGAGTTCTTCAGATAGCTGAAAACCTTTTTTTTTTTCATTTTAAGCAAATTTAAAGCCCTAAATGCAAAATAAAAAGAAAAATAAAAACCAAACAAAAAAGACAAATTCTTCTTAATATATTTTGTTGCATAAAAACTCATGTGTTTTGTTCATCCATTTTTAATGTCTTGTGTAATGGTGCTAAGTTTTATGGTAGGTATAATTACAAGGAATTACAAGGGAACATACAGGCGCTTTTTTTTACATGCTTATATGGCTCTTACATTTTTTCCTTCTTAACCATGATTTCAGTTAATAAGGTCAGTCTTGGTTTCTCATTTTTATGAATTTTTAGATCTCAATGTATGATAGCATAACATATCAACGAATGTTTATCTTCTGTTGGGCTCAAATTTTTTTTAGAGATGTCTATTATTTATGAAAATGTACAATTCATGCATGTCATACTCATGTATGCACAAAAATGGTGTAGAGCTCTTTTCCCTCTGTTAGTTAAATTACTCTTTGATAAAAAAAAATAAGGTCACTATTTAATTTCTCAACTGTAATTAAAGACAATATTTGGAACATTAATAGAAACTAACTCATCTCATTTTCAGGTATTTTGTGCAACCTATGTTACTTTAGCTCTATTATTCTCTGTATTAATCTCTGCAGGTCTTTATATGTAAGTATTTTCATGGACTAATGAAGCATAATAGACCCAACGCTCACTTACTGAAGTGCCTTTTTTCATCTGAAATGTATTTTTTAAAAAACCAAAAATCAAAAAACCTACTACCTTCTTAATCCACAGCATATTCATTATCAGTTCAACACACACTACTAATTATCTTAAATTTGACTGCTAAATAACTCCCAAAGAGCCAATTTATCTAAGGTAGTGTGAGCACATATTCATTTCTCCTTATACATCACCAGCTGTTATTAATTAAATTCTAGTCACTTCAGACTGCAAGTTTGAAATAATTGCCACTGTGGAAACACTTGCACATAGCAGTGAGCTCGGCTACTACATTACTGATGTTGATTGTCACCTGGATATAGGTAGACACCACTCTGTTTATTTCACTTTAGAGTTTGTGAGATATTTAGAAGTATGTGGGGAATTTTCAAATTTGTTTCCTGAATGTTCAAAGCTTTGTCAAAAATACCCATAAAGTGCAGAACTAAGTTTGATGCGCTGTTCTCTAAAGAAAACGTCTCCTCTCTGAAAGTGTAATACACCTTTTGAAGCTCAGAGGAGATTATGGCAGCAGCAGAAAGTGATTCTTCCCTCTGCACCAGCTCCTCTCAGCTTGCTGCTCTACTGAGGGTTGAAGTGATGCTTGCAATCTGCTTCCTTGCTACCCACCTTCCACCCACATCTACCAAGCTTCTGTGGGCTGGTGCTTTGACAAGCCTGCAGTGCAGACTATTGGTATGACAAGGTATTAGGAGCAAAAGGTGTGCTTTGCACTCGCTTCACTTTCCGCACAAATTCATTGCTTTTAATTAGTCATTGCAGCAGAAGGTTCAAAGAGATTTTCATGACAGATAATGAATGGTAGTCTCACATGGAAAAGTTTTGCAACCAGAGTCTTCTGGATGCACTACTTAGCCCACTGGTAAGATTGAATTAATCTCTCCTGAAATCAACTACGCTTTCTCAAGCTTCAGTCATCATAGTATATGTAGGAAAAATGAAAATCTGAAGTTCTGAAATATTAATTAGTCTCATGTTCCAGTGGAAATGTGAATAAAATCTGCATACTTCCAGAAAGTAAAATTATTGCATTTTTAATAATACACTTCAATATGTTGAATCCTGCACAGCTAGGTGGTATAGATATTTTAATTATTACTTTATATATAAAGTTTTGCTTTCCGTTATTTTGAACGACATTTATAAGGAAGAAAATATTGTAGAGAGTGAATATAAAAGATTTACTATCTTGCTGATGAAAAAAAGACACATCAAGAACACAAGAAGAGGAAATCTAACATCTCTATAAATAAACTTCTTTTTTGCATTCTTATTGTGTCCATGAAAAAATATCAGTGATATGATGAATATTGGTAGGGTGATGTACAAGTATAACTTTTTTCACGAACACTTCTGAAAGATTATTTTCTTTTTTCTATTACTGGTATTTAAATGTAAGACTATAACCATGATTAAAAATTAACTTTGCTCTGTGGAGGAAGATGGGAAACAAATGCTATCCCCTTTAGTGACTCACCCACTAAATGCAGAGTTCACCTGCTGTTTTTAATTTATGTGATCATTTACAAAACAAAACATATAATGTCCTTCATCTATATACTGCATTTCACTTTTTTGTCATGAAAACATGTAATGTACCTTCCATTCGGTACTCTTGTTTCTAACCTCCTATCTAAATGTGAATTGTTTATGCATACAGATTATTAAGAGAGAAGCAAAACAAAATCCTTAAGGCCTTTAGAAACAATACAAAGCGATATGTTTACAAAAGGCCGTATTTAAAAGTTCTGAGTTCTAAATGTAACAATATTTTCAGTTTCCTAAAAGATACAAATCAATTTCAGCTTAAGAGCAGTGAATCATCATCATCAAATTATGCTAATTATAGCACTCAAAGGCTTAAGTAAATCTAAACATATGAAAGAAAACCACAGACAGAAGAAGATGATTTGTTGAAGGCCTGTAAGTCAGTTGAGTCAACAGTTCACATATATGATTTGCCAAGCAAATTTACCAAGAATAGCTCTCTTCCTAGAATTACTTTGTTTTAATCTTGCAACTCATATAGTCATTTTATGTAGATTTAATTAGGCACCCTGAGGTTGCCCAAATACTTGCCCCATCTTATTGGTAGAAAATACTAAAACAACCTGACGTTCATTAGCTACTGAGAAGCTGCATTGAGCCAAATTGTCTATTCAGCTTTATGTGGTGATTCTGGAAATAATTTTCACCATTAGTTTACAAAATGACTAAAAGAAACCTGTTTTATGTAAATTTGGGAATCCTGCTGAGGTTCCTGACAATTGATAAAATGAAATGGAGAGAAAATAACCAGTGCAAATAAAGAGCAATTTGCATGTATTCTGGTGAAATGGAAAGAAGTTAATGGATATGGAATTATAAGCAACTTGCCTTGTAAACTGTAGATTTCTCCAACGCTGTTCTGCCGGGTGATGTGATGCCAATATGCACTACGAGGAAGTGAGATCGACTTGGATAAAGTCATTGGTTCAGACAGACTGGTCTGGAGCTAAAAGCCAAAGCAAACATAAATGGAAGGTCACACAAAAGCATACCTGATAAATAATCTCCAAACTGTAAATCAAACCAATGTTGTCATGAACACATAATTTTCTGAATTATCACAGGCTTTATATTTTCACTTAAACTGTGTTACAAGCATCAGCACTGTGAATGCTCAGGAAAAAGCTGCAAAAGTGTATCTAGGTCTATAGGTTCATTAGCAGAGGTTAATATTAGGGCATCAGAATATGTCCCTATTTATCTACAGCTGTTCTTCTTGCTGGCAGGGTTTTGTTCTTTTCTTCCTTAACTTTATGATAACGATGGATTAACATACGCCTGAATTATAAAACCTCTCTGCAATCACATTTCCTTTTGGCCATTTAGCCTGCATATTGGATTGAAAACCCAGAAAGATGCTAAGAGAGAATCTGAGACAACCAGCAGAGAATTAGCAATGGAGAGTCATTAATCTCCTAATCCTCCTTTGAAGGGGAGGTATCTCATCACCAGTAGCAGGCTCCAACTTCAAGAGCAGATTTTCCTGGTCTGGGGGACTTTATGTGATTGAAATTGTAAATTGCATGGTAAGTCCCTATGTACAAGAGCTACGGCACAGAAACCTGACAGGAGGAATGTCAGCTTTATTAAAGAGATCTCTGTCTCCAACAAACAATTGATGTGAGTGAAAGACAAGACAACACTACAGAGAAAAAAGAAAGATGAAGCATTGTGCATTCTGGCAACCTCTTTTGATATTCCTGTTATGCTTTCTGTGTCTAGAAGAAAAGAGAATGCACCTGAAAATATTTTGTATCGCTGGTTTTACAGAATATAAAATGTGATCAATAATTTTTGGAATCTAACAAATCACCTTAACATGTAAATATAATTTTTTGAGGGGATGTGTGAAAAGATCAATACTGAAGGATCAATTATGTCTGAAGATTTAGAATGTCAAATCTCTTAGTTTCAAGGGTGGCACCACAATGGTACTCTGAGAAGGTGGGCCTAGAAACTCATTTGCAAAGTGTCCAGCTACAGAGCAGAAGGTATTCCAGGTCTGGATCATTTACTGCAGGTTTAGTCATTAGTTCCTAAAGATTCCTCTTTCAGAATCATAATCCCTAATTTTAAAAAGTCCTTTTTAAGTGTAAAGACTCATTCTGTAATTTAAACCTCTTCAGCTCTTCAGCGCCCCCTCCCCCCCAATAAATAATTTAGAGACAGTATCCATCCAAAGATCTAAAATTATTTAAATTTTAAGTATTAACACAAACTGATGTATGGAATATATTTTGCTTCAGATCAATCTGTTGTAATTACTTCCGTTGTTGTTTTCTTGAGAACTGTCATCAAAATAACTCTTCAGCTAATGTCTTTTGCTCATTTATAGACAAGTATTACATTTCATTTGTAAGTGGTGCAGCTCATCACTAGAAGTTATCTGAGATGAAGTAAAGAGCTTGCAGAAGCATTTGGTCCATTAAAAAAGAAGTTTGAAAGCATTATCACAAGAATTCCAATTTTAGGGAAACTTGAGGGTTTAAAGTTTATTGATACACAGAATTTCCTTTATTGTAGAGATCAAGACAATAACAAACCCTGCATATTATTTTACCATGTTTGTATAGCAAGGGTAACAAGGGTAACTTCGCTGAAGAAAAAAATTACATAAATCATCTAACTTCAATTTACTGATGATTTATTCATAATTTATTCACCCAAAAGGTAAATTAAAGGCAAACCATTTTCTTAGTATGCATTCTAAAAAAATTAATTCCAATAAATAGAGCCTATTTGACTGCAGTTTATTATCTCAAACCTAAATCCATGAACTGAATGGAAGTGGTTAAATGTATCACTATTCCTGATCTGAGATGATTAGCTCCTGCCTGATCTGACCAATAGTGATGCAGAAGAACTTAATTTGTGCAGATTAGAGATTCGGAGAATTAAAACAAAAATATGTTCTCATTATAAAATAAGGTAAGAACTGCTCTAGTACAGAAGACTGCACTGCAAGCATTTACAGTCCTTTGTTTCCTCAGATTTTCTAACTAAAGAACAACTTCTGATATCACCTTTTGGGTAAGAATTATCACCATATGCTGACTGCAGTAGGACCAGATGAACCAAATTTCTCTGGGGACTCCATAGAGAAAAAAAAGCAATTTCTAGTTTATTATAATATCATCCTCAGGAAAAAAACCAACTTTAAAATAAAATATCAATTTTGTTTTTCATTCGAAATTTTAAAATAGAAGCATAAACCTATGGATTTGAAGACCTTATTACCTTGAATATCATATAAAGGATGATGACATTAATTTGTCCATGAAATTATTCTTGCTGAATAGAAGACTACCGTCAGCTACAATTTTTCTTTTAATCTTTTTTTATCCACATAAAAATCACATTGTTGATCAAATGTAATTGACAGAATGCCTACTTCCACAAACTGCTCTTTGTAAAAATATTCCTGTGTTCAAAGAAAATTGAATAATATATTGACAGAAACCCTAGAGAACATCATGCTTCTCTGGAGAACATCCTATATGTTACACTGTGGGTATTTCAGATAAAAAACTTCAAGGTGAAGAAAACACATTAAAAAATCCATTGTTCATATACTACTAGATAGCTCTTAGCTATATTAATAATTACAGGTTAAACTAATATTAAGTACAGAGATCTACTGCTTCAAAATCCCTTTTCCCCAACTGTAAATGAAATTCTGGTAGTTAACAAAGTTTAAATAGAAAAACAAAACAAAGAAAACAAAAATTTTCCCTTGTAAATCAGGGAAGATTTACAGAACTGTTTAACTGTTAAAAAATTAGACACTCAGGTTCAAGACCTCTGGTGTTCCAGACCAATGAGAGAGATCACACTCATAAGTTCAGAGACTTTGTCCTCCATACCTTTTCCTTTTGTCTTTTTACTATGCCTCATTAAAAAACAACTGGCTTCTCCTCTACACTTTTCTGAAGCAGCTAATGCAGAGAAGTTTTCACTTTGGAAAATCAAGTAAATAGCCTTTAAATTTTTTTCTTTTCTCAAAGCAGGTAGACCATCCTGCACAGATTTATTACTGATCTTAATTTAACAGAAATGTAACAGTTAAAAATATATTTAAAAATTATTTCACCTATCTCATTAAGCCTGTTTATCATGCAGAAAATTAAAACAACATCGCTGAGTCTGGATTTCTTCTTATATAACAGACCAATATTCAGCTGTTGTTTCCAACACCAACGTATTTTTCTCAGGAGCTGGCAAAACAGGCTCAGATTCATTACCATCAACTGCACAGAAAGGGCCCATAATGACAAAGGTAGCAAAGACACATAGAAGAAATAAAATCTGGGAATGAATTTGAGATGATTCTGCTCCTCTACTTTACTCTAGTGAGATCCCACCTGGAGTACAGTGTCCAGCTTTGGGGTCCTTAGTATAAGGACAGGAATTTGCTGGAGCAGATTCAAAAGCAGGACTCAAAAATGATCAGAGGGGTGGTGAAGACAAGCTGAAAACCCGGGGTTCAGACTGGAGAAGTTCAGGCAAAAAGTTTCAGGGAAACCTTAACGTGACCTTTTGGTACTTTACAGGGGTTTATAAGAAAGGTGGGACAGACTTTTTAGCAGGGCCTGTTGTAACAGGACAAGAAGTAAAAGTTTTTAATTAAAAGAGGGTAAATTCGAATTAGACATGAGGAAGACATTTTTCATGATGGGGGTGGTAAAACACTGGCACTGGCTGCCCACAGAGATTGTGGATGCCTCGTCTATGGACACATTCAAAGACAGATGGGACTGGGGTCTGAGCAAACTGGTGTAGCTGAAGATGTCCCTTCTCATTGCAGGGGCCATTAAAGGTCCCTTCCAACCCAAAGCATTCTCTGATTTCACTGAGGGTTGTTTTGCTGTGTTGCATCTATGTACTAGTCTTAATATATGAAAGTAAAAGCAATATACAAAGTAAAACATGCATCTAGAATGACTTGGCTACAAATACTTCTCAAATCTGATGAGACTTCTGGAAATAAAAACATAATCTAGACTTTTTTTCCCAGTTTATGAGGTAGAAAGTAAGAATGGAATTAGAACTTAGGTGAAAAGTAGAATGCATTCATCAAAACCACATTAACTCAGGCAATTTTGTGGTGGCAATATAAAAAATCCAAACATCAGTGAAGCACTTTTGTTATCTGACATGAAACACCTAGTAGTCAGGCTTCACCCATTTCATCCAAAATTTGTCTGATAAAATACCTTTCAGATGATGAATATTACATTTCTTTCCTGTATCCACATCCAATATCCAAAGCCAAAATATACAAAATATTGAGCCATATGAAGTGTTTGCTTTGCCAGTGACAACTTAATTTTTCTTACAGGTCTATTTGGTTAAAATAGAAATTAAAAAAAAAAAAAAGAAGTCTATTAATAGACTGTCACTGTAAGAAGTTTCCCATGTTTTTCATTATTGTTCTTCTATGAAAGGTTTAAAGAGTAAATTTTCTTTTAATTCCCATAGGCCATCTCCATTGACTTCAATAGATTTGTTACTCTGATATCACTAATGAATGCAATTCCAAAAATGGAGCCTTTTAACTGTATTAGGGTTCTGAGCTTTGATCTTTTTAACTTATTATTCTCTCTCTCTCTTTTTTTTTCATTAAAAAGTCAAAACACTAAAGGTGACAGAAAATACATTTGGCTTGAGGAGACAAAATGAGCAATTTATAGTTCATTCCTTTTTTTCTTTAGTCTACAATAAGTTTGCTTTTTACAGATATGATCTGCAAATAGGTTAGTTTATTATGGATAAAACCCTCTGTCTCATTTCAAATTCTCATTAGTGTCTTTAAACAAATAGCAAGAGAACTAGGTCACAGAAGACTAACGAGAATTGTAGTCTAGAAATATGAATCGAATACCATTATTTAGATTTTTTTTCTTTCTAACTCTAAAGAAGGTTACTTTGTATGCTATGCCTTGAAGA